ATCAAGTCATCTAACATTCGAATTTTTGTAGAGAGACCATATATATGTGGATAGAGTTAGATACGCTGATACACTATTGCGGCACTCTGTTACATTTGATGACGAGAATTCTTTTATAAGACATTTAGCAAATTTCATTTGTGACAACCAAAAATAAAACGGTATCTTTGCTGATCGTGCGATTAAATTCTATGGCCAAATGCATTTTCTCAGATTAATTGATATTCAATTATTAATTTAACTTTGTTATAAAAGAATGTGGCTTGTTAAGTATATGTATATTTATTCATAGTTACACAACAAACTATAGTTATATTGGCTAAAATTAAAATAAGATTTGGTAGAATAAGATTTGTGTAGATTTGTATCTTGCAAATGTAAAAAAAAATGTGTTTAGGAAAATTGTGAAGTTTTTAAAATAAAATTATTAATAGTTATAAAGTTATTAAATATTGACAATATTGTTTAATTAAGTGTACGAAGTTAATACGTAAATTCTTATTGGAATAAATAAAAATCTCTCGAAAAGTTCGATTGCTAATTAGTACTTATATCAGTTATCTTGCATTCGTTTTACCAACAGCTGAACATTTCATAATGTGTCGTTTAAATTTGCTATCATTATTGCACATTAAATCTGTGAAGCAAGTGTGCATTCTTTTACAATTGGACAACAAATATTTACGACATAATTAGTCGAGAAAATTTGTTATTCACAAATAATAACAAATAATTAAAACATAATTTTCTAAAAAACACAAATTATATACTACCGTTTATAAATTTAGAAACATATGTAATTTTTTTACGAGAAGTTAAATATCTCGGGAAAAAAATTCGCAAGTTGAATTTATAATTATAGTATATGTGCAAAAAACGTACAATAATATCGATAATTCTTGACTTTACACGAATAGATAAAACTGTACTATTTCGATTTTGAATGCAATTTTTTATTCGTGTCAAATCGCGATATCCAATAATATTTTCTCCAACGTGGAAATATTGGAAAATAATACACTCTCTCCTTCTCGGAATTTTTGTTTGAAGCATTTTTCACAACAAATGATCGAGAAATAGAGAAACGGCTAATTTAAAACTTGATTCCATCATATTCTGAACGAATGTATCCCATACATAAATAACAACTCGCCTGCGTCCACTATATGGGTACCATTATATCCTATTGTATCAACTACTTATTATATGAATTATTATTTTCTCGTTACTCGATATTACCGACGTGAAAGATGAGAGCAATGCATCGAGTCAAAAGATTTTTTTTTAGATAGAATACTAAATAAAATCAGATTTAAAGTTAAAAAAAATATCTTCCAACAGGAATAGTTATTGCTAGAAAAACAAAAGTCATTTTTAAAATTTAATGTCTTATTCCTTCTCTTTTAATTGGCTCTCGTCTATTCGACAAATAATTAATAAAAATTAGGCCCCCCTCCCCCCCAAAGCAAAACAAAACCACTCCGATAATCTTGAGAATATGCATAAAAAAAGTAGGTATTTAAATACAATCATTATGTAGAGTGCACGATGTAAGAGATAAGACTCTAGAAATATGTTACGTATCTCAAAATTATAGATATTTTCTCAGAAAAGAAAATAAATACGTATTAATGAAATATTAGCGCTCATAATTATTTCTAAAGATTGAATTACAATTTCTTTAAAATTTGTAGAATATTCTTTTATTTCCAGTATTGCTTTTCTCGGTAGACGTAGACCCGGTATCACAAAGGTTAAGATTAATAACTTTAATCTCGGGGTTCAACTTACTATCTTATCACGAGTGCTAATTGCACAAGTGTCAATTGCGCCACGAACGTACCAGAAATATAAATGATTAAATAAATAATTACCGAAACCGATTTATTAAACATACTTAAAGATATTTTTAAATAATTAATACACTGGGCAACAAAATTAACGCAACACCTGTTCACTCTGCAAAAATAGGCAAATTTCAAGATACAATGACTTCGTCAAAAATTGTTGTATCGGGATGTTTAAAAAAGCATTTTACAGGTAGAAACCTCTACTTTTCGGATCGCTACTTAAAAAAAAACGAAGTTATTGTCAAAAATAAAATTTGCCTATTTTTGCAGAGTGTATAGAATAGGTGTTGCGTTAATTTTATTGCCCAGTGTAAAAGGATGCCTTGAGTAAATATAAATTATAAATTTAAGAAAGGCAGATTCAGAAGTTGTGTGATAAGTGGAATATCAACGCAGAAAGACCAAGGCTATCGCGAAAATCAAGCTATAAGTGACCCAAATGCAGTCATCGGTCAGAAATTTAAAAGAAACGTGTCGCGTACTTTGCCCATCATCTACACGAAATTGTAAACAGTATCTACCGCGACGTGAATAGTGCTAAGTGGAACTGTAATGAAAAACCACTGGTGATATGTGTAAAAAACTAAATATATTTTTATTAAACAAAAATGTAAGAGCTGTTTGATTTCATCAAAGTCCTTTGTGGATTCGCGAACCGTGCCGTGAATTACCGGCACCTTCTTCTAATTGTAAAAATAAGAGCTAGAATAAGAGTTAATTGAAGACTGAGATTAAATTAAACTACATTGAATTAGAAAAAGATAAATAGTTTAAGTTAAACTGAGATTAAAGTTAATCTTAAATTTGTGGAACCGGAATATAATAAACTTCGTATTCTCTGATTTTATTGTTATAGTAACTGTGCTCTATTAGAAAGAGAACGCAATATTTATATTGAATCGCATCTCTCATCACTCATCTCTCTAATAGGCTATTTAAATTTTACATGTAGTTCGTTAAGGCCCAGTTGTATCAACGTTACTTTAATTTTAAGAGAGGCTTTAAACTCTCTCTTTGCCCCTGTTTTTTTTTTCGGTTTTAAAATAAGATAAAAAAAGTTTTCAGTTTTTAAATTAAAGGGCCTAAAAATTACAAGTACATTGCTCGGAAAATAATTTATAGAAAATCGTTAGAAAATATAACCTACAGTCACATCACATTTCTTCCTTATACATATTTACAATATACATTTATGTTTTAAAGTATTGAATTACGTTTATGAATCGTTTATATCCTCCACACACAAAATAAATATGTATAAATGTATATTGCAATAATAAATCACCATTTAAATCGTTTTTTTATTTTGTTATTTTATTATAATAAAATTTTTTTATATAATAATTTATGTGATTTATTATTGCAATATACATTTATACATTTATACATATTTATTTTGTGTGTGGAGGATATAAACGATTCATAAACGTAGTTCAATACTTTCAAACATTTTATTATAATGATGTTATTTTATATTATAGGTTGATTTGTCTGAAGCAATTACCACCACCAACTAAATTAATTAAAGGAAAATAGAAAACGGAAGTGATAACAGCTAACACTTGATAGATAGAGCAGAAAAACAAATGGAAATGATGAATGATGACAAATCGGATCGCATAAAACAAGACCATATTCAAGATATCATGGAAGGAACCATACCAAGTACAAAATATCAAAGTAATGGCATCGATGGATACACAAAAAGTGCAGACAAAAACGAATACTATGACTTTGTAGAGGCAAAAAGCACCGTTAAATATATCAAACATTTTGTGAAAGTAATGAAGCCTATAATCGATCAGAATTCTGCGAAACCGAAGGATTATGATAAATGGACGGAAAAAGAACAAATCAAACATATTATAGATAACATGACAACGTATACCCCAAATATACCGCAATCCTTATTATTTTTTATACCAGGTACATTATATCGAGGAGATTGTGGTCGAAATTCGATGGACAAACCACTCTGGCTGGACATAGAAAAATTCCAGAGAGGTCAAAAATTCGTGCTAGATAATTTTGTCTCAATCACGTTCGCTAATATATTATCGCTTTTCCAGATATTCGCTTTTGAAGATGGTCTTAAACCACTCATCTTCAGCCAACAATCTCATACGCCGTATTTAGCGTTTAAAAGGTACATGAAGAGATTTTGATAAAATCTCATAGTAATTATAGTCTGTTCTTATATTTTAAGATCATCTCCAAGAATGTCTTAAGATGCCAATGCAATTCTATGATTGACTTAAGGCAGTCTTAAATAAAAACTGATTATGAAATTGAATCGGGACTTGTATTTATAGCGTTTCTGAAGAATTGAAATTAATGAAATATAGTTAGAGATGGAATAGGTGAAAAATTCATAATCGCTATTTAAGTAAATAATTCTTACTCTTGAGAAAAAACATTATGATACTCAACTTTGAAATTTATAACAACTAACAACTGAGGCAAGAAAAATAAAAAAAAACGTAGTAAGAAGTTATATATATAATAGTGCAAGTATTTATTTGATTCTAAATCAGATATTATTGTTTTATTTGCTATAGTACAATGATTTATTTGTTATAGTACAAATAATTAAAAAATGTAGCGTATTTATGTCAGTATTATATAAATATTATATCAAGAGAAGTGATAAAAATTGTTGACGTATTTATAACAAATTAATCTTGAGATTGAAATCTAGAAAAACAGGAAACAGATAAACTAATTGCTAAGAGAACTCATTAAATCAATCAGAAGTAGTTGGTTGAATTGATGTCAATTGACTAAAGCAGTGCTGGGATTTACTTGCACATTTCAGTCGATTTTCAGCTTGGTTCTTGCCTCTTACTTCAATTGACATCGATTCGAATAATTATTTCTAGTAAAGATATAATTTATTGATTTAAGCTTTATTATTAGGTACAGTTTTCGTTGAATTAAGTATTTAAAATTTAAATTATTTTTATATTTAAATAATAAGTTAATTAATTATTATATAGTAAATTAATTATTAATTCATTAGTTTTTAAATTATATAAAAAATTATATATAATTCTAATATTAATTAAAAATTTGAATTTATGGTAATTAATTTTATTAGGATTAAATGTGAAAACGTTTTTGAGTATTCGACAGCATTTGTATGTTGTGTAGCGTCATTATTTTTCAACCTTGGTCAACATAAAGAAGCTCCATTCATAATCAGTCATGTGTTTTATGAAAGATGTTGCACAAATTTATCAATTGGAATTTGACAAAGTTTAAGTGTGTATCTGTGTGGCTAATGTTGTATTAAATTAATTAAAATTTGCGTAATAAAATGTCATGCGTGTATGGAATTTTAATTTACGCAATATTGCATGATTGATTGTGAAAGAAACCTTTGATGACTGAATCAGGTTTGATTGCTACATCCAGCATTTTTGGTACAATTCCCATATAGGGTTTTACATTCGGCCCAGTACTGCCATAGTTCATATACTGGCAAACTACTGGCCTAATACTGACTAAGTACTGCAAAAAGGATTGGCTGCTGCAGCAAATTAGATGGTAAAATATGGCATAGCACTTTTTTTATTGATTGCAGCAGCCAATTAAACATGCTATGCCATATTTTATCATATAATTTGCTGCAGCAGCCAATCTTTTTTTTCAGTGTGGATAATAATTTCGGTACTGACAGATGGTATTGGCTCAGACATTTTAGCCAGTCATTTACCAGTTCAGATAGCCTAGTACTGGTTGACAGAACTTTGGTCGTCAGTTTTGACAGTTATAGTGTTGACCAAGCGTTGATTTCGTTGTTGGCGATTCTACAGGTTGGAAGTCGAATATTTGATAAGAAGTTTTCAATTATCATTGAAGGTATTCGGCTACGGCTAATTATGTAAAAAATTGGATGACGGAAGATCCGTGGACCGTAGGCACGCGAGCATACAACGATATACAAACTGTGCGTAGAATGCACCGTGCAATCCGATTGAAACTCTGTGAACGCGATACTGAGGAGATCGATATGGCCTCTAAAATTCCAAATCCATGGTGTCCTAATAGAGAAACAATTTTAAAAGATTTATCTTCCTGTCCATATCCGACTGTAGAAAATGGTTATATCTATCCACTGATCAAACCTAAAGGGTTGAATCAAGCAGATATGGCAGCCACGCAATTCGCTTTCACGGGGATGATTTTGTTATATCCTCAAGAATTCGGCGTTTATGCTAGCGATGAAGATATGGCAGCCTTTTGCCACACATGGAGAGGTATAGGATATCTTCTTGGCATGGAGGATCAGTAAGTAATAGTTTTTAAAAAGTTTTTCATTCCTTGAATATTTTCCTCATTTAAAAAATTCTACGTCTCATTGGAATTCTATTTGATGGAAACATATGAATGTCTAGATACAATTTCTGTCGCGGAAGTCTGAAGGAAATTAAACAAAGATCACGCGACTTCATCGAAGTTTGGGTGAAACCCAACTTGAGGGAAGTAATGCCCGAATGGGAACATATGCTGAGATGCATAATGGAAGGCGGTTCTTATTTTAATGATGTTTTCACATTCAAAATGGCACTACTGTTTCTCACCAATTTATTGAACATAGATATGCCACGTACGCGAAGTACGCTCACTTATTGTGAATGGTTTAAACTCATTATAAATCAATAGTGAGTAGAACACAAGCCAGATAATAATTAAATATAATGCGCAAAAATCCTTGTCAAGTTAGAAAATGAGAAGTTGATTATTAATAAAACAAACTTAACGACCTAGACTATTTTTCATTCAAATAAACAAAGATCAAATATTTCAATTTCAGTTAATCAATCGTTTTTTTAGTAAAAAAATTTTTATTACTTGAAAATTCTATAATATATGACAATTTATTTATGTGGAATGAAAATTTATACGTTTGAAGAATTATATGATAGGCTGCTATCGCAATGTACTATATCAAGACTCGTTTGTAGGACATAGACTGTAAAAAATTAAAGTGTAATGCAAAATTTTATTGTACTTTTATTACTCATCTAAATTAAGTTTTCACTCACAATAATAATATTTATAATAATTTATTTCTATGATTTCAGTTTCATATTCCCTTATGCTATGAGGATAGGATTTATAAAAGAGTTTCTGAATAAGATACTTTTTAAGCGACTCAATGAAGCAATCAAATATGGACCTAAAAAGCATATGGAAATGAAAAAAAGATCTCAAAAGACTTTAGCTGAGGGCCGATAATATTTCTATACAGACTCAGAGTTTTACTTATACATTATTAGGTATTAGTTAATAAACATTAGCATTAAAAAGGTAATATAATAGTAGATATCAATGTAAAATTATATTAGATCATATTGTGTTTGATAGCTTAAATTATGGCTAAGTTATGGAATAATCTGAATAGTAAACTGAAAAATACGAAAAATGTGTGTTACTTATGCTATTAAACTTTTACATATAAATTAGAATATCGTTTATAACATTTCTATGAAATATGTAAGGCTAAAGTACTTAATATAATAAAAAATCCCATTAACACAAATAGAATACACAAAAATTACGTCTATTTTTACTATTAAGATAAATACTAAGAAACACCTAAATACGTTTAAAAAATATATACATTTGTATAAAAAGTTTAAAAAAAAAACAATAAAAAATGATTTTATATTAATTGTTTAAATTAATTACTTAATACAAATAATCAGATTAACAGCAAGAAGAAGATGCAAAATCCATTTATTTCACTATTTCTCTAAATTCATTTTTATTATTTTTATTTCTCTAAATATTTTATAACTAATACGATGACTAAATATCGCGCTATTTGGAATACAACAGTTTCTATAATTTAAGTAGGACAACAAAGTAAAATCAAGCGATGTGTTATATAAACGTAACTTTTTCGGTATGCTTAAAATTCTTATGTAATTTATATTTTGATAGTTCCATAAAATTATTTGCAGATCTATATCGAACTAAAATGTTAGATATTTCAAAAAATCATTCTTTTCATGTAGCAAAAGATTAAATCGACACATTGTGTACATATAACGTCATAAATATCAACGCGGACGAAGAAGCGTATCGCAAGTCGGACATCGAGATCCGCACGTGATTCACGAACAAACATAAATAAAAAATATTTTGAACAATTAAATGCTAAACTGTAAAATCGTAAAATGTTATGATAAACAACACTAGAAAAAACACGAAAATATATCTTACGGATTAATCGTAGACGATCAAATGTTGAACAATGATATGACAGATGCTGAAAAATTTATAAATCGTGATTATATACTCGCAATACAGAGATTGTAATTCTTACAACAGTTGTATACTGTAGCTCATCATATAAAGTTATTTCTCACATATCGAGAAATCATTTCGTAAAGATAACGAGTATTAACGATACACTTAGAAAAAATATTGAAAATTGGGAGTGTACTTTGAATAGCACAATAGAAATACGAGCAAATGAAAATTCAGATGAATATGAATATGTGAATCTGCTGCGGAATACATTCGACCAGAGCTTATTTCCGAACGACTTCGACGAATGGACAGTGAGCCGAAGATATAGTTGGATAAATAAGAATCTTTCCAAATTCTATTCGAACGTACCAGAGCTCTTATTGGATTTCATTCCTACTTCTTTTTGCCAAGAAGATTGCAGTTGATCACTGATCGGAAGAAACCCGAATGGTTGTATATGAATAAGTATTGCAGAGGGCAAAAATTCATGCAGAATAATTTGGCCGAAATTGCTATGAATTTAATATTATCGCTCTTACCTGATTATTTGAAAATAATCTAAATCCAATTATGGTAAGTGATCGCATTCATATGCGATCCTATACTTAGGATACAAAAGGCATGTCACTCTAAAGGCGGATGCAGATTCGTTGCTTACCAAATCATTGGTATCAGTGGGACTGAGAACCTAAATAACACGCATATCTAGAAGACGTCATCAAGGCATCATAAAAACTTCTTTTGGAACGTGAGTGTCATCTTATCCTTAATGTTATTCCCGAATGTTCAGCAAGAATAAAAGATACTTGGAGTTGACAGACTCCGACTTTTGGAATGCACACAATCAGGATAATAAAAAATCATACTTAGGTATTTATAACATTCTCCTTTAAATGCTTTTTATGTATCATCCGATACCATTCAACTCAAAAGGCTTGAATTAATAAATTCATTATAGAAGTTCATACATTTATACATAGGAATCTATTATTATTAAATTATACATAGGAATTAATAAATTCATTGTAGAAGTTCATACATTATACATAGGGATCCATCATTATTAAATTATTAATATATTTTGTATTATCCATATGTGTTCTAATAAATTAGTAGTAATCAATTTATACTCATTAATCATGACAAGATAATTAATACCTTATAAGTTAACCACCAAATAATACCTATTTCATTAGCATAGAATCATTAATCTTTTATCGTTTAACATACAGGGAAAAAATTAGATTAGGAAATTATTGAAATTAAGGTAATTACACATTTACTGCTTTAATTACACAAATTCACTGCTTTAAGCACACAAATTCTTTGCATTAGCAGTGAATTTGTATTTTTAAAACAGTGAATTTGTATTTTGAAGCAGAGAATTTGTCTTTAAAACCGTGAATTTGAGTAATTAATGCAAAACATATACATAGCTATATTGAGTTGGGATGACAAATATCTTAACCTCTAAATTCTCCACCTTTAACATTTAATAACTCGATTCACGAGATCGACCGCCGTGTTTTTTTTGCCAGGATCTTTCGTTTTGAGTGGGAACACGTCGAATGAGTGTATTTTTATTAAGATTTAAGATAGGGATGGGGGAGGGGGTATTCTAAATAATTAACTAGACTTAGCTTAAAAATGTATTATTCCCCAACAACATAAAAGTTGCAGCAATATTGCTGCAAGTTCTGTGCTGTTGGGATTGTAAGTATAAGATTCTACCGGTCAAATTAATTATTCATGAAGTTAATCACAGCTCAATCAAAGTCATTTTTCGTAACGAGGAACCAAATTCGTACTTACGCGCGAGGATGCATCATGGAACGTCACTCGATTGCATTTATTGTCTAATCGACCGCTCGCTCTTCGATTGGTCTCTCCGCGCGCAAAATCTACACGCACATAAGTACTTGCGAGATGCATACACGTCAATGACACGTCGTGTCGTGGAAGGTTTAGTTTTTTTCCGTGGCCGCGAAACGACTCAAGCGCGTGCCGGAGATTATGAGGGGGATGATACGTAAACGCGGGATCGTTCGACTTTTCGTATGAGATGCCTTGTTGATACCGGATCTCGCTCGACGATAACGACACGATACAAGTAAGCGGCGAGGCCGATATCCGTTTTATCGCGATGCCGCCGAGTCGTTTGGACGCGGTTTACCGGAGCATCCTGCTCACCAAGTTCTTCACGAAGGGCTGGGGCAATCCACAAAATCTAAGAAGGTAAGTGAAGATAAGTGGCTAACCTGATCTAACCTAATAGCCAACTTCACGCCTTTGGGTAAATTTCCATTTGTTATCTTATGTAAATTAATCTATTTAAAGCACTCCTGATATCAAATAATAATAGATAGATGGGTGGAGTGCTATGTGACTCAACATTAATGATAAGATATTTTCTTTGAAAGATAAATAGATTTAACAGATGTAACAGATATAATTAAGGAATGCTTTCTATTTGACCTAAGTGACACAAATATTGTTCTTCATAATTTCCTATTTATTGAATATCAAGCAAGATAGATGTTTGTATTGATTTGCGTCACTAATGCTTGTTTTTATTAATATAGATTAATTTTTATCTTGACTCAACTAACTCTTTATCTTTTTTTGTTCTAATTCTTAGAATATAATTCAATAATATTTAATAATATTTCTCTCTGTCAATTATATGTCTGACATTTATAATGTTTATAGTACCCCATAATACTTATAAGCATCTAAATCTCTAACCATAAATTATTAAAACAATATCTAAACATCTAAATAATTGTTTCAGAATTTTTGAATTCAGGAAAGTTATCGCAAACCGGGAAACATGCTACAATATGATACCAATTACCTATCCGATAGAAATAACAAAAGTATTTCATATCATATTCTTTCTGATAATATAGATTTCACTATTACAAAAATGATAATGTATGTGTTTTTCTATAGGATGAAGTTTGGTCAGACTGCCATATTATTGAGGGTCAATTTGAATCACCTTTTGAGAAGCATCTTCCAGGAATAATGCCAGATAAAACTAAGACGGCCTATTTTCAGATGGTTTTACCATCTAAATGGAGTTCTCATAAAATAAAGCCGATTTGTTTACATCTTGCAGGAACAGGCGATCATGTATGTAACATTACTGCTTATTGTACCATGATCTTTCAAAGTACATACAATATGGTATACCTTTATTTCTACAGAGATATTTATATATTTTACTTATTAACTTATTAGTTTTTTTGGCGACGTAGAAATCTTATTGCTAAACCACTACTCAAGGAATCTGGAATTGCATCGATACTGTTGGAAAATCCATTTTATGGATTGAGAAAGCCAGACGATCAAAAGTAAGAATTAATTAAAGTTTGTAAGGTACAAAGTTACATACCTTCGCAGATTTGTTTTTTCTTACTCCATACTTTTTTACTTTATTTTTAGACGTTCCAGTCTGCACAATGTAAGTGATATCTTTATTATGGGAGGCTGCCTGATAATGGAATCTATTGTTTTGTTAAACTGGTGTGAACAACATGGATTTGGACCATTGGCTCTCACTGGATTGTCGATGGGTGGACATGTTGGTTTTTATTCTGAAATAAAATTTAGTTGGTATATTATATGCACCTAAATATCTTGGTTTTTTTTTAGATGGCATCTTTAGCAGCTACCAACTGGCCGAAGCCAATTTCATTAGTACCTTGTCTGTCGTGGTCAACTGCTTCGCCCGTGTTTACGGAAGGAGTAATGAGCGCATCAATAAATTGGGCACTTTTGGAAACGCAATATTTTTCAGATGAAGCATATCAAAATGATCTCGCAAAAATGGTGAAAATTATCGATCATGATGTAAGTATATCATTTTTGTAATTTTATTAATAATTTTCTTTTTGTTTTTGTTGAGTATTTAATGCTTTTAGGATGCTTTCTTAGCTGGCCAACATTTTGCAAAGCACTTTCCTGCAAGCATGAAGAGAATAAATAAATTGAGAAATGAGTTTAATAAAAGCAATGAAGATAATAACACTATAGATGATGCAGTTAGTAGCAATTCCATTGATAATCGTAGTGACATTAATGTCTCCCTTGAATGTGAATCTAAAACCGATAGCAATCAGTTGCAACATCAGATCGCAGAAGAAAAGGCAGCAGCTAGGATATTTCCCTTAAATCTGATTTCCAATAGATTTAAATCAAAGGATCCTAATGCTCTCAAAGGTATTTCATATAAATTAAATTCCATATCTGTATATAATTCATCAATTTGCTGTAGTTTATAAATAAAAGAAAAACACATACAATATAGGGTGTCACATTTTAAACGATTACCCTTTAAAATTTGCTTTGCTTGCAATTTTAGAGAAAAATGCTTCAGATACAATTGTTGTATATGGTTTGGAGGGGGACTTAAGATGGTGTTATTGATTTGACTTTGCAAAATTGTTTGAAGACCACATGAAGGTCATCATCAATTTCTTAAGTGGAATGCCCAATTTTCGATAGATCCTTATAGTTGACTTGAACACTTTCAAAATGATATAATGAAGTCTTTTCGTTAAGAACTTCTTTGACGAGTCTTTAATATTAAGATAGCATTACCATTATTCAAAGTGTTTCAGATGATTATAAAGATTTTGAAGATGATTATAAAAGATTTTGATTATAAAGATTTTAAAGATAGCTTATATAATTCAAACCTCTATTTGCTTTTCTGAATGTACGTAAATGTAAGCGCAACTTGATTTATGTGAGCTCCCCTCACGTTCGAAGTAATTGATTTAAGTAATGCTAATGTTGGCCACTAATTTTCATCAAGCTTTATAACTCGAAAAGTATTGATAAAAAAAAGACTTTATTATAATGATTTGAAAAGTATTTCTCGAAGTAAGCTACAAGAATATTCAATGAAATATATTGGGTTTTATTTAAAAAATTGATAGTGACTTTTTCATGTAACCTTCAAACAACTTTACAAGATCGATTCAATGACACCGTCTTATATTCCTTCCAAACCATACAACTTTTAAGCCCGATGTACAAGATGCAGGACGCAAAAGTTGAAGTTCACCTAACTTTCTGCATCCTACTATCTATTATAATTAAAATACGTTAGGTTAGTTTCTAATTTTGCGACTTGCAGCCCACGTCTCAGACGTTTCTGCGTCTTATGTAGATCGGGCTTTATCTGAAACATTTTTCTCCAAAATTGCAAACAAAGAGAATTTTGTGATCGTTTAAAATGCAACACGCTGTATATATCTCAGTTCTCATTTTCTTATGGTAAAATTAAAGCAGTTTAAATATGTATATTCAGATATGTTTGTTATCTGTTAGCCTTGCGTTTGGCGATCCTACATAGCATGTAAGCATGATTTTATATAAAATTTCATTCTTTTCTATGACAGGAGTTTGTTTATTGCCAGTGCCGAAACATCCGCTATTTTCAGACAACAAATGGCGCGAACACGAGGCATTACAATTTATGCGCGGCATTATGGATGAGTGCACACATTTGAAGAATTTTGCGATACCGGTTGACACTGAATTAATCATCGCTGTCTGCGCCAAGAACGACGCTTATGTACCACGAGATCATTGCATGAGTTTGGAAACCATATGGCCGAGAGCTGAAATTCGTTATATCGATGCTGGACACGTCAGTGCTTATCTTCTTCATCAGAAAGTCTTTAGGTATTTCAAAATCTGTTATAATTTTTTGTGTCCTTATCTTGTTTACCTAATACAGAAAATTTTCATTAACAAGTATGTTTCATTTCAGATCTACAATAGCGGAATGCATCCAGCGATCTATGAAAAAATATCCTATAAAGGTTAGATGATGTGCAATATTTGCAAATTTTATTACAATTTTACATTATTTCGAGACTCTCTTAAATTTCATTAGATAACGAAATATTTTCCGAGTTTGTGATTAACTAGACTTCTCTACGCTTGAGGATCTCTATATGCATACGTGTGATCTATTTTTAAATCATGATAATTATTTTGTATAAAAGAGTACAATTATTCAGTCAATTTAGTATTTAATATTATTGTTACATAGAATGAGCTAGTTGCCAATAAAATGTTCCTACAATAATAGAACAATAATACATATAACACAATAGATAAGAAGATTTTGACACACACACACACACGTGCGCGCGCGCGCGTTATTTTAATTAAAAAAATTAATTTGTAAAGTAGTGAAAAAGAGAAAAAAATATCTGAAACAAAAATTACTTGCAGAAAGACAATAGATAGACTTTAATTTGAGCTTGGCTGATGTATCTTCTAAATTATATACTTTTATTTGTTTAAATGATACAATATAAATTTTTGTAATGTTATAATAATGTTCCTTAATATTCTGCACATAGAAATATAATATGATGACATCTATGTATAAAAATAAATATTTTATAAGAGCAATATATATCAAAATTAAAAATATGTTTATGAAATCAAATATTTTGTAAAGTATATTAATTTTTTCTGATACTCTTATGTGTAGAATATCATGAAAAATTACTTCATTAATTATAAAAATTGATGTGTGTTTTGTTTTAAGAAAAGATTTGCATAATCTTGAAGATGTCAGATAAAATCAAATTTTTTAGTATTTTATGATAAATTCTTTCAAAATTGAATAACTTTTGCCTGCTTGAATTAAAATTGGATAGTCTATACATTATATAAATTCATACATAAAATTTAGACACATTTTTAACTGTATTTTTATTACTGTTTATGAATCATTGATACTCGAATAATATTATATTGTATATTATATAGTTGTACAGTTACATAGTGACGAGTGTTCATGAAAAAAATGCGATATATTTGATATATTTTGTATGATATGTAATATAATGATATGCAACAATAAATCACATGTGTATATATTTATGTATGTATGTGTGTGTGTTTGTGTATGTATGAGAGATAATAATCTTGAAGTGTATGAAGTAATCCAAATGAAACCTTTTTCTCTTTCGTCTAATTCCACATTGTACAAATAATATAGGATGTTTGAATTCTTGTCCAGTTTTCTTGCTTAATGAAGTTTAAGAAATCATAGCTAGTGAATTTTTGCTTTTCCGGAAATGTGAAGGGCTCAATTGATTAGCAATCGGTCGCTTTTCTGCAATTATTAGACACTCTATAATGAAATTTGGCCAACAGATGACAAACTTTTGACCCGATGTTTTTGTTAACTTTAGTAAGTCAGAATGAGTAAGACAGTATAAGTTAGAACGAGATAGCTTAAATAAAAAGAGACAGTAAGTCTGTTTTTTTAATTGAAATTTTCGCGCGGTTTATTTTTTCTTTTTCTTTTCGAAGAGAAAAAAAACAAAAATAAATTGTGCAAGAAGTTTATTTCTAAAAAGAGAACAATCTAATTTATAACCTTTCTCATTCTAGTTTTGACAAAACTATTCTTTAGCCATATCTTGTAAAGATATTTTTTCATGTTCGTGTCGCCCAACGCTCATTTTTAGCATCAAAATAGATCACGTGATAAAAATTGACGAATATTAAGGGTCAATTTTGATCACGTGACCTGTTTTGTTAAAAATGAGCGTCAGCATGAAAAAGCACCTTTACAGGAAGATAGAGCATAGACATGTTTGAATTTGAAAAAACGTGCGGCAAATGGCCGCCGCGGAAGGAACGCGCGCCACCTAGCGTGCCGTGATCAATCAGACCGGAAGCCGGTCGGCCCGCGACTCGTGCTCTCAGAGGCCTCACCAGCCTTGGCCACATGTATCACGCGTTTCCGTGGATAGAGCTCCGCAGAAAATGCGCCGCGTTTACGTAATCCGCGGTAACGCGATGCCACGCCGGTACTGGTAGGCACGCGGGTGCGTTGCGGGAATTATTTCGCGATCTAATCGATCAGTGCTATCGCGAGTTTAACGTGAGCGAGCGAACGGAGTTTTCCCTCGGACGAGAGAACACCGGATAGATACTGTGACGAAACCGAGCCGGGGGAGTTGTGCGCGTGTTCACCGTTTGCTGGCGTATTGGCGCGTATGGTACATGTCCCAAGTGCCATTCGACGATCGTCCGCGGACTTGAGACCAGTCTCGTGATCCGCGGCGCCGTTCACGTTGCTCCGAGCGGAGGTGCGTGAACTGCGCGCCGGTTGTAGATCGCCGAAAGCGCCGAGTCAGCACGTTCGTTCCTAACCCCTGCCGGGGTAATAGCACGAGGTCGCGGCGCGTGTTACCGAAACGCCGGCGACCTCGCGCGATCATTGCGCGACCGGACGACGTCGGTGCACGTCAGTGTCGCGCGTCGAGACGTACACGCGGTGAACGTGGGTGATACATCTGCTTTGTTCCGCGCGACCGCGTGCTCGTACGCCACGCGCGCGCGTCTCACGGAAGATCCCGCTCCCCCCCCCTCCGTCTGTGACGTGCCGGGTCGCAGAAGCTGACGGAAGTAGCTCTCGTGTCTCCGTCGTCGCGTCCTCCTTCGGGGTGAACAATCGCGCGAACGCCACGCGAAAGACGGAATTTCCCTTAGCATGGAGTGGGGCATGTGAAATTCCGAGGACGCGCACTAGGTTAGTTTGCCCGTCCCGTGAATTCGTCGATCATCATCGACGGCCGTGATCGTGGACCTTTCTCCCCTCCCCTCCCCCCTCGAGGACGATCTGAAAGAGCTTCCGCGGGGGAGTGACGTCCCGACGGCAAGCGACGAGGGTGAATTCGGTGGCGGTACGCATCGACCTCGTGCACGGTCCGCGAACCTCGTGTTTTTGTTCCCCGACGGCGTGCGCCGCAAGATGGCGGCGAAGCTAGCCAGCCAAGGTGGCGCTCGAAGCGGCGGCGAGCGACAGGAGGCGGGGCCCTGTCAGTCCTACGCCAGTGTGCTGAATCCGAAAGGTGCCTCTCAAAATCGTGCCAACTCCTTCAAGAGCAACAACAAGGAGAACATTGACGATCAGGTGGCGGTGCCTCAGCAGCAACAGCAACACTTGTTGCAACAGCAGCAACATCAAACGACAACAAATGCGAAGGAGAAGATAGTGCCAAATTTGAATAGCAAATCCTATCATAGACTCATTCGGTACTCTCAGACTGTCTCGAACAATTGTCCGGAGAGACGCGACCATCACGAGAACTCGTCGTCGAGCATGCCGGTCGCGCACGTCGACGTCGTTCACCCGTCATTGGCGTCGTCGTCGCCTGGCGCGTCACGCGAGGACGACGGCCAGAGTAACGCCGAACGGCTCAATAACGGCAGTATCGGGAACGACGGTGAATTTCAGACAGTCGCCACGAAGGGCGCCCGGCGTAAGGAAAAATTGCGCGAACAGTATCGCGAGAATCATCGGGAGCGTTACCGGCTGCGCGATAACAACAATCGCCATCAGCCATCACCACGTGGTCCCAATGGCGTCGGGGGTGGAGGCGCCGGTAGACGCGGCAGCGACGAGAGATCGCACAGAGAGCGCGCCGACCGCAATGGCGTCCTCGATCATGGCCCGAAGGAAGCCCATCATTACAAGGACGAACAGAGCACCGAGTCGGAAGCGCAATCGGCGTCCCTACCACCACCGCCCGTCAAATACATCGAAGCGCCTTTGCCCGCGGTGAACCCCTGGACGAAAAATCGAACATCGGCGTCGCAAACCGCAAAGACTCTTCCCTTACAGCAGCAGCAGCAACAGCAACAGCAACCACCCAATGTCGCAACGTCTACATGCATCGATAAACAGAGCGAGAGGGAAAGGAGAGTGCTGCAGCCGCAGCAACAGCAACAGCAGCAACAGCAACAGGATACCACAGGTGAGTTACATAATTCTTTAAAGCACACTTGACTCTTATTTTAACATGGTTTGTTGATAGAGTTATTCAACTAATCTTTAATTATTTTTATGTGTGTTACAGAAACAGTTTTATATATTGTTAATGATTGTTATGTGAGCTCTTACAAATTTTTAGAGTAAATCTAAGTTTTAGAAATGATTGAATATTGAGCTACTCTTTTCCAAAACTGACTCAATTTCCATTATAAATTTCGGAGTGACATTTTACTCCAAGGAGTTTAGAGAATTTAAATAGCATTTTTTTATATGTATGATTGAAATTAATACATTAATCTTTTATTTATGTGTATCAATTATATCTTTTAATTATATCTTTTAATGTATGTACAGTTAAAGAGCTTGCTGCGATAGTGGATTATAACCCACATTTTGTAAAACTGGAGTAAATGATATCTTATTTAGAATTCATTCACTCCGTTTTTTTAATATGGTTCAGTTAATTGCAACGAATTCTTCAATTACATTAATTACTATTTTACTCATTATTATTTTTTATAAGAAAGTTTGACGTACGGAGGGAATAAATATAGGTACTCCGAGTCTTCAAGAAATTTATCCAGCTTTATGAATAGTTTTCCTTAATTTCATGATGAGGGGGCGTTAAATGTCGAGCGATTAATTTTGGGTGGACACCTGTCGCGGGACACTCATTAAGACATTTTGCATCGTTAAATATGCATTAAGTACGTATTTACCTTCAGCGTTTTTCGGCAGGGATAAACTGCGCCGTCGATAAATAAAGCTCCACGAACTTTACACGCGGCCTTGCGCTTAGCCCCGATTGCAAAATAGCCTCTTATCGCCTTTCTTCAGACTTTCCGATAGCCATTAGTGCGCGCGCGGGTGCACGATGATTACATAATTATTAACTTGTCGCACACTCATGTACGATCTCATTTGATTAATGCATACCACCTCGCACTTCGGTGGCTTCGCTGAAATTCGAGAGATCGTGTCGAAATATCCGATTTCACGGAATATTATACCTATAAATAGATTGTATTATTTATGATGTCAGAGAATGAATTTCTCTTCCTTCTTTTTCCTTTTCGTTTTTTTCTTCATCTTTTTTAATAAGATTAAAATTGTAAATTCCATCAGACTCCATTCTTTCTGAAATTTTACCTTTTTACCACAACGAATAGCTTGATAATTAATTTTGATAATTAGTATAATACAAATTTCATAATTATATTTGATAAAGAGGAAAAGGTTATCTATTTGCCAGCTTTATCAGATTATAATTTATCGGAAGCCTTCAAATTTTTAATCGTTTAAAATTGAAATATTTCTAACTTGTCGATATTAAAAACAGCCTTGTATTATTTAAATGCTATTTCCAGATGCTGAGGACAGTATTCGGCAAATTTATCACGCCTCTCAATTGGAATACTTGAAAATTTTTTTAAACATGCTAGAACGGCGAACGTTTCTGTGACAAAACTGTACGGGAGGTCTGTTTTGGTTGAGATATATATATTACGAAACGGAGGCATGAAAATAGAAACGCGCAAGTGTGCGAGCGTTGAAAAATCGAGGAGATACGGCGGTCTATAAGCAAAAACTATCGATTGAGGAAAGAATCGACGTAAAATATACGATCGCCAATGTTTCCGCGTGTTATCGAATAATTTTTTATTGATTCCATTATTATGTTTGTGTGAATCCGATAATCGGCTCTCAATTGATGTCTGAAATATTAATTCAATTTAATTGAATGTATATTAAGATAGTAGTTCAACATCTTAACACTCTGACCGCGAAGGCGCTGTGATTTAAAATTATAATAATTATTATGTTTGCTTGCTTCATTCTGGAAAAAATTTTAGATTTAAATATCCATGCACATTGCACATTTCAGAATGTAGTCGCGGAAGAACTTCTATGCTTGATGGTAATTTAATAGAATTTCTTTGCCATAATCGAATTTCACGCAATCAGCACGTTCAATAATTTTATAAAATTTTTCTAAAATACTGAGGAAAAGGTATTAAATTATAAAAATATTTGTTTAAATAGTTCCAGTAGAATATTTATTAAATTTGAACATATATTTATTTGATAAAAGAATCATTACTTTAATTTAATTATTATATTTTTTATTTACTAAATATTTATTTTCCGTAAATAAATATTATGTTATATTAAAATTCACATTTTACATACATTTTTCTGTTAGTGTAGATTGTAGAAGTTGAAAGCAGCTATCAAATTAAAAGAGAGCCAGTAGCGTACGTCTTTACTTTAGATGTTCGATAATCGTGATAATAAGAGCATGAGCGCTCCACCGACAATCTTATCTTCACACTCTGCCAACATGTTTCAGACATATATACGTGGCATCGAAATGTCGCATGGGGAGACCAACGAGTTGCTTTCAGCAGCAATTTATTTGCATATCGGAAGATTCGATCTGCTTGAGTCTGTTTTGCCGAGCAAATCTGCCTTTATCTCTTAAAGCAATAATATTCAATCTTTTTTAAGAATTACTTTCAGAAATAGGAAAAATCTTGTGGATTGCATAATGTTTATTTCATTTGGATTAAATAAAAAATATATTTTTATGCCAGCAAAAAATTCAGACGGGCCGCACGTTGAAAATCACTGCCCTGAAGAAAATTTTATCCTTTATAAAAGATAATGCATGTATATGTACATATATTTTTTATGAAGGATATATATATATATATATATATTATATATATGTCAAGGATAAGTTTATTCTTGATTTAATATATTTTTT